CCCAGGAGATCCCAGAAAAAAAGTGGGGTGGTGCATGTAGCAGCAGTGTGCACTGCCTAAAACCAGAGCCATGCTCCAGTGACCGGCCAGGCTCCCAGCTTCAGGAGCAATGCAGCTGCAGCTCCCCCAGGCCCCCAGGTAAGGCTGCTGGGGGCAGCACAGTTGCTGGCCTCAGTCTCCCCTACCCCACCTGGGGTGCGCGGCAGGGGTGTTCCTCGGGGACAAGAAACGCCACTGCTTCTTGTTTTCAGGGAAACAAATGTCCGCGCTTGTGTGGACGCGACTTAGGTGTCTATGTAACTTAAAGTTCTGGGCCTTAGTCTCTTTGTAGCTTGGTTCCCCACCTGTAAAATGGGGATGACATTGCCCTACCGCACAGAGGGGATTAAAATTATGAGATTCTCAAAAATTAGTCATGAGAGCCATGGAAGCATGTAAGAGGAAGGAATCAGTACAGTGCTTTCTGCAAACACGCCACGTGGGAGATGCCGTTAGCAGTAGAAGAGCTCTCCGAGTACCATGATGCCCGTAGTAAATATTGGCTATATTCAGGCTTTTTATTTTAAGCTTTCTGGAGCGAGGATATTGCATGTTGTTTCTTGCTAAGCTCTGTGAATAAGTACATAAACTTATTATTTATTTCCATAAATACATATGGAAATATTTATAAGACTCCTGCACCTCTTTTCCCCCCCACACAAGGGTTTTCATCCATTCCTCTTAATCACTGGGAAGTGGCTGAACGAACCATGTAGATACAGTCCTTGGGGACATGTTTACTTTCAAAATCATCCCATGCTTGCTCGTCTTTTGTGACCATGATATCTTGTGTAGGTACAGGATACATGGCAGCTATGTGCAACATTCAAGACAATGTATTAAGGACTTAAACACAGTTACTGAACTCTAAACCCTATGTGATTTTGTGGCATACAGCACTGAAATATAGGTGTTGCTGTGATAGAGAGGACTATTCTCCTTCCTTTTTTTGCATTAAACCTTTGCTTCTCCATTGGGTAATATTAAAATGAGATGTGACAGATACTGAACATGCCAACAAGAGTTCTTATATCCCATATGTCTCTTATGAGTGACATTAATTCTACTGCAAGCTCCTAAGGGCTTTGCCAAGCTACTGGCCGCTATTTGTGGTCAGCACCTGGAAATAGGTAGGAAGGGTAACATGGTTAATCAGCAAATGTCTGTAGGGA